TTTTATTTCAAAAGTCTCTTATCAATTATGTTGCAATAACGTATTGGTTTTCAACTGAAAATTCCCTCTTCGTCATTCAAAATAAGTTTAATAATGAAAATTGTGAATGATATGTATTTAATTATATTTATGAGGAAATACAAAAAGACAACCTTTTCAAAATTTTCTAGCTAAGTTTTCTTGCATTTGATTTTTCATTATCTTTTGGAAGATAATGAAAAATCAAATATATATATATATATATATATATATATATATATATATATATATATATATATATATATATATATATATATATATATATATATATATATATATATATATATATATATATATATATATATATATATATATGTTTGGGTGGGTTAAACGCCCCTTAATTTTGAAAATCAAAAGACACTGTTTTCCATATGCTGTAGGCGTTCTTTGTAATTAATAAAAAATAAAATTTAACTTATTGGCTCAAATTTTAAACCTCAATTTTTTGCTCAAAAACTAAATTTTTGCCCCAAATATTCATATTATGACACCCTAACAAAAATGTTTGGGGTTCATTGGTTACTTTTTTGAGCAGGACAACTGTTAAGAGAATAATTACTTTTAATGAAGAACCTATCAAGAAACCTATTTTCAAAGAAGTTTAAGTCTGGTAAGTTTAAAATTCAAAGAAGTTTAAGTCTGGTAAGTTTAAAATTCAAGTTGGCTCAAGCAATGATGCAAGAATTTCAGGACCCAGTAAGACAGTTTAAGGTTAATGTATTTTATGTTATAGTGGATACTACCTTTTTAAAGGAAATGATGCTAATATCTTCAGAAATATTACTTTTCTGGATCCTAAAAACTTTTCATCTTTGCGTGACCATATTGACGACTATATTTTTTTATGATTTAGCCAATCTTGCTGGTTTACAGAGGGAAACGCTGTGCGCAGAAATGACATCCTTTACAACTAATTTACAATTATTCATAAAGACTGATTAAAACTAAATCAAAGAAATTCTTCTCCGAAAAAAGACTGCAACAGATAATTGACTTGCGTTTTACGCTTTCTCCATCGTTACATTGTTCTGCATATTTTACTATATAGTAGAATTGCATATTTTGTATATTCTACTATATAGCAACACGCATATGTATGTTGCATATAAAATGGCATGCCTACCTTGTACATAGGTCAAATGCAAGCTTTTTTGAACATGAAGATTGTGAAAAGTCGCCTTCGTAGTCTTTTGGGTGAAAAGCACCTCGAATCACTTATTTTTATGAATGTGCACACCGCTGCGCAAATCCCTATATTCCCCATTTTGCCTATATCCTAGAAATACGAGTTTGTGGGCGCAAAGGACACTCAACGTCCGAAAAGGGGTTTGACAAGAGTTCGTTCCGATTACTTGCGATAATATAATACTGCGAACACATAACTTCCACATAATTTCTATGTAAATAATTCAAAAATTTTACAACAGATTTGTATTTTTAATAATATTGATAAAGTTATTGGGAAATAACTATTTTAGCATGGCAATAAGGTGCAAAATTTAAGGTGGTGCAACACACCACAATTTAGAATTATTGAATTTTAAAAACCTCGCATATGGATTTATTTTTTAACGTCTCGAATAAATTGATGGAGTGCTTGGTCAAAGATATGGAAATTTGCATGCACATTATTAGAAATTTCCTATACCCTTATTTCCTATACCCTTGTCACAAAAAAACTTTAGAGTTTAATTTTTTTTTTCTATAATTTTTTGGTACAATAAGGGCCCCATCTATGTCTCCCACACTGGTTCCACCTTTTAGTGACACCCCTTAGTGCCAGTTTAACCCTGTATATGTATATATTTGCTATATAAGTATTTTTTTTGTAATTTTTTTTTTATGTATTTAAACTATTAATCTCAATTATGAGTAACAAAGATGTAAATATAGTTACAAGTAAATCATCATAACCTAGTATGAGGTAAATTTAAGTTGAAAACATTTTAATAAATTTTTTGATTAATCTATAAAGCTATTTCTAGCTAGAGTTTTCTACTCCAGCTAAAAACACCTCTACATATTTATTCAAGTAGACGTAGATGTAATGTTCTTTAACCAAGGTTTAGATTTGTCAATATTTATTTTTGCCATTTTTTGTAAGGTGAAATAAATATTTTTGTATTTTATTATATAACGTACAGTTATTTTCATAATTTTTTTATAATTACTACTGAATTAAGTCTTCTGGTGAAGCTAAAAGGTATTGCTCAATATTATTATAGACAAGTTACCAGATAAAGATCCTGATGAGAAAAAGTTATTTATTCTACTTACACTACATAAATATTCTACTTGAATAAATATGTATAAATAAATATAAATATGTACTTCATCAATATAAAGTTTAGGTAAATTATTAGGCAAAAAACGTTTTTTTGTTGAGGAGTGGAAAAGGATCCACACTGTTTTGTCAATATTTAAGGTTAGTTTTTTGCAAAAGAAGTGGACCAAGGATAGAACCCTGTGGAACACCACATTTCATTTCAATTAAAGTTTTAATTTGAAGATCGATAGGAAGCTTCTTCTCCGTGGTAGAGGAATTGCTTTCTATTTGACAAGTAGCTTTTATACCATTTGATCAATTTAGCAGGTTTTTTTTAAAGCCCAAGTGATTTTAATATTGTAAATTATTTGAAATCAGGTAGTTGTCTTTTCGGAGATGTTTTTTTCTAATATTTTTGAAAACGTAGGGAGTATAAAAATAGAGCAATAATTTTTGACGTTTTTTTTCCGTCTTTACAAATCTTTATAAACTTTGGTAATTTTTAATAGATCAGGGAAAACCCCTTGTTGCATAGATGTTTTGAAAACTTTAAATATAATATTTTTCAAACTTTCATAGCAATCTATAATTTTTTTTTTTTTTTTAAAGTTGATTAAGGTGCTCCAAGAAATCCTTATGGTCTTATCACAGAGCACCACGGAAAAGCATTTAATAGGAAGTTCACGCCTGCTTTCCAACCGATGTCGCAAAACTTGCCCATAGGTGGGGTTTGAACCTGGGATCTTACGTTTCTGAGGCAAGTGCGCTACTACTGCGCCATGGCTGATATATAATTATGTTCCCCTTTATTCCATCTGCACCATCTGCTTTGCTTCTTTTTAGAGATTTGAAGGCTCTTTCAAACTCAAATTGATAAGTCTAGGAATAAGTTATGGGTTTTCTAGTTTTTATATATATGCGTAAATTATAATGAGATTTTGTTTTTAAATATTTTATAGAGAATTTTTGTTTAATTTTTGAGTTTAATCCAAGGACTCTCTAAGTTTTAAGGTTATTTCGGAAACGGAAAAACTTGCATCGTACACCAAAAAGAATGTATTAAAGAACTTATTTTAGATTACATTTATGTCTTCATTAAAATTTATATGCTTTCAGTGATATTTAAATGTTTCTAATTTTTTTTTGTCTTTATTGTTTTTTTAAAATCTTGTCTATTACGGTGGTTGAGTTTATATTCAAGTAGGCCGGTTGATAAGCGGTATTGCTCCTGATACAAATCTCAAGCAAATCATATTTAAATAGCCAATTACAAAGTTTTTTTTCTTTTCTTTATTACTTTTATGAAAAATATTGCTCTATAAGTATAAGCTTAAATTTTCTGACGCATCACCAGGTGGTCTATAACAACAACTTAGTAGAATGCTTTTGCTTTTTAACTTTTCGCTTTTATTGTTTAAAATTTCGATTTCGTAACGATTCTTTATTGTTACTTAAAGTAACGGTTTCTTTATCGCCATCAGAAACGCTCAAATCATTCCTAACGTTATGCGCATCGTTTTGTTTTATGTAAACCAGATATCCTCCGCCGCATTTGTCTTTCTAATAAAATTATCTTTCTAATAAAATTGTTTCAAAACTAGAAAGATGGAAGTTAGAGTTATTATTAGGCTCATTTTGTGAACACCAAGTTTCCGTTAAACAAATAATATCAAAATAGTTTTTAGTTTCTTCTATAAAATGTCGAAGATTTTCAGGCACAGTGCCGAATTAAGGGGAGGGGGAGCTAGAGGCTATAGCCCCGGGCCCCGCAAATTTAGGGGCCCCAAAAAATTTTAGTTGACCATTTTTTTTTTTTAGGCATTTTTAGGCTCTGGCTTATAAAAAGGCCTCCAAAAAAAAATAGCCCCGGGCCACAAGAAGTTTTAATCCGCCACTGCCTAGGCAGCCAAGACAGTGTGCTTCCTCGCTGCCGCGGCCCCGCACGGGGCTCTAACTTCACATTTGCTACTTAGTATGTGCGGCCAGTGGTGGTATAGGTGCGGGGCACCCTAGGGCTGCCTGGCCCGCGGTGCTGTCTATCCCGCCTATGCCAAGGGCCGCCTCTGCTAATAGGAAAAATTAATAAACACTACTCAAAAGTTTGTCCATGACAGACTTATACTAAAAATACTTAAGATATTTATCCTGTATGCAATGAATTAGAAAACCTGAAATGAAGTTATCAATTGTTTATTAAAAAAGTACGTTAATAAGTAAGACTTAACGTATTATAAAACTTAAGTATTTTTAAGTAAAGCTTAATGAATCATAAAACTTAAGTATTTTTTCTCAGCACAGAAAAATTAGACATATTTGGCTGATTTCATCGTCGATACATTTTGACTGTTGACCAGTGTTTTTTATTTAATCGTTGATACATTTTGACTGTTGACCAGTATTTTTTTTAAATCACTGTTGACCAGTGATTAAAAAAAACTATTATTAGAGTTACAACTCTTATACATACCAATCACATGTTACTCTTTGTGATAAACTAAAGAAAAAATCTAAACGATTTAACTAGTTTAAATATTAAAGTTTTGCTCTTTATATAACAAATTTAATAGTTTAAATAAAAAGTTTAAAAAATAGACTAATTATAAACTACACTATAGCAACATTATGATCAGTACAGTTTAGGCTTTAAACAGCCTTCGCCATTTTTAAGTTTTTTATTTTTCAAAAATACACAAAGTTTCTATTGTGATAGTTAATTTATAATTTACAATTTATGTTACAAAAACTATGAGTGCATATCTATACAAATACTTTAAACAAAATTACATAATAACTGATTTTAAAAGCCCTATACAAATGTTCATAGTATAAATTAATCTAGAACGATTTTGCTGGTTTTAAGTGACCCATGACGTCAAAATACGATTGTTGTCGTATTTAAAGGCGCTTCACCATCTTTCCAAATAAGGTTATAATAATGAAGTCAAAATATTTCTACTGTTTTTCAATTTCTTTTATTTTTTTGTACTTGTTGTCGTCGTATCTAAATAAAAATGAAATTTCAATCACTGAATAACTGTTATAGCAGCGGCTACACAACCAAAAAACAATTATTAGATTTCAAAAAGTAATTTTATCTTAAGCACAATCTACATGGAAAAAAATGAAAAACAGCTTTACGTTTTCTGGAGTTCAAGAAAAAAGTTAAAGAAAGGTCGAAGCTATTTGTAGAAAAGACAATAAGTTTTAAAACAGTAAAACTCTTTGACATTCAAAACATCAGATATACCATTGGTAGTATACGAACAGTATTTTTTTATCAACAGGCTCTGTCGCATTTAGTTGTCTTACCTATGCTTAAAAGGTAATAAAAATGCTTAAAAATAGAATAATTCGTACAAAAAAATAATTTTTTTCAGCACAAATTTTTAAAGCGGGGTGTATGTTTAATTTAATTTCTTCGGGGGCCATACAACCAATATATATATATATATATATATATATATATATATATATATATATATATATATATATATATATATATATATATATATATATATATATATATATATATATATATATATATATATATATATATATATATATATATATAAAAATATCTTTCTTACCTCGTTTTTTCTATGCGTTATTTTTGACTAAAATAGATAAAAAAATGTTTCAGATAACTTTGTACAAAACTTTAACAATCATTATTTTACTAAGCTCAAAATAAATACACAGTAATCCAAATAACTTGAAATTATAAATTTAAATTTTGATTATATAAAGTAAATGTACAAAACCTAAAACGAATAGCAAATGTACAAAACCTAAAATGAATAATAAAAAAACTAAAAATAATATTTTTTAGAGAAAATTGTTTTTTCAAAAATACATTTTTTCAAATTAAATAAATTGTGCATATAAAATTATGAAACTTTATTTAAATGAGATTTATGCAGGTTAAATAGCTAAAATAAAAATCAAATTTGGAATTATTTAAAGGCATTTCGGATTACAGTGAAATAGTTTGACTTATTTTATAATTTTGGTAGCAGTTATAATTCTATCAGTAATTATGTTTTCAAAACATTTTGTTACCTTTTTAAAAGCTATATTTGGATCATTTCCTTGTTGACCTGTTAAATCCATAGGTGATTGCCCATTAGCAAATTGTTGGCTTTGTTGTTGCATATTATCCATTTGCAGACTCCCTTATATGTATATAAACAATAGTTATAAAAAAATATAACATATTTAAAATAGTGTTATAATATGTATATCGTCCCTCAGCTAACAACACCGCATAAGTCATTTTTACCAAATTTACAGAAGACGAAAAAAAACTAACGACTTCTGCGGTGTTGCGAGGCCAACCGACTTGCGCGCTGTCACTACTTTTCGGATTGAGCGGTATTGGTAGGGACAATATATATACATATAGTAATGTTTTTTGTATCATTTTTTGTTTATCTCAAGCTTTTAAAGTTTAAAATACTTTTTTTGTGGCTTTTATGGTTCTTAGGCCGGCTGATAGTAAGGTTTACCGAACTCAGTGGATGCTCTCAGAAAAGTGGTAAAATATAAGAGTATTAACAGTGTCATGTTGCGCATAGATGGTGCCCATGTTAATGCTTTTGGTACGCATTAAGGAGCGCTATATTTTATCTTTGAGTTAATTAACAGGGCTGCGACAACTGCATAGCTCAGGACACATAAGGAGAACTAAATTTTATCTTTAGGTTAATTAACAGAGCTGCAATAACTGCATAGCTCATTGCTTTGCGAGACCGTGCTTAATCTATGAATGAGTCAAGTTTTCTTTAAACTTAAATAATACCAAAAGTAACCCCAAAAAATCATCCCTACCACTGTTTTAACATATCATTTACAAAGATTCGTGGTTTGCGAGGCAACCTATAATCAGTTGAATTTTACCTTTTACAAAATTCACTAAACTTCCTTGCTCTTAGTGAGACTAATTTAAATTCCGCTATTCCTTCTTCAGATCTCAGCGTTCTTTAATAGTCATATTCTAGGTTTGGGGGTGTACATATGCTTCACTTATTTGTCGTGAAATCAGGCTTGAATTCTTTTGCCATGATTCTGCATAGCACCTCTTCACCTTTCTCTTTGTTCATTATCGTTTTTCTTTTTCCCAAGACAGCACTCATTTAGATGTAATTTCTGACCAAATCGACCATTTCTCTTTACTCCTCTGCCAATATTGTTGTTATTTGTGACATTAATTGTCATCTCACTGGATGGCTTGGTCCTAAAGCACTGACCATGCTGACAATAAAGTATATTAATTTCTGCATTTCTCAATCTCTTACTCATATATTTAACTTTGTGACTCGCTTTCCTGAGAGCCCTAATTATTTACCTTCACTCCTTGATTTATGTTCTGACCATAGCTTGTGTTTAGTTTCTCCCTTTTCTCCCTAAGGTGGTTCTGACCATGCGATGATCTCTATAAATCTCTTATATCGTATTTTCTTTTCGTACTCACCCTATCATTGCACTACTTACTACCCTAAAGATGACTGGGATTCTTTTCATAATTTTCTTTGTGATAGTCCTTGAGCTATTGTCTTTTCCCTCTCAATTGATATATGCGCCTCCAACGCAATCTCCTGGATTTAGGAGGGAATGAAAGCTTTTATTCCTTTTTGTTGGCTCAAGTCTCATTCTACTCCATGGTTTTCAACTTCTTGTGTAGCTGCTATATCTAATTGTAACAATTCTTTTCATCTTTTTCAAAAAAAAAACTTTCTTGAGAACAAACGCTATTTATTATTTCAAGAAATTGCAATAATAAATAGTGTTTAAGCAATAATTAATAGCGTATAAAGCTATTTACTATTGCAAGAAATTGGTGTAAAAAGGTGCTGTCTGATGCTAAACTCCATTATTCTCAGTTTACTAAACCCCGTATCTTATCTCAGAAGTTATTAAACCGCGTATCTTATCTCAGAAGTTATTAAACCGCGTATCTTACCTCAGAAGTTACTAAACCCCGTATCTTATCTCAGAAGCTATTAAACCGCGTATCTTATCTCAGAAGCTATTAAACCGCGTATCTTATCTCAGAAGTTGTTAAACCGCGTATCTTATCTCAGAAGTTATTAAACCGCGTATCTTATCTCAGAAGTTAGGCTCTAGAGATTTTTGGAAAATCTTCAACTTTGTCATAAACAGGGGGTAGGTCTAACATTCCATCTCTCATTCATGGGGCAATTCTTATTAATTCTCCCAAAGATAAAACAGAACTATTTCCAAAAAACTGTTCTTTCAATTCAACTCTTAAATCTTAGGGCTTTTTTCTTCCCTCTATTCCAATTATACAGTTTAACCCATTGTTAGACATTCAAATCACTCCAGCTTCCATTTCTAAAGTCATATCTCAATTAAACTCTTCTATGACTTGTAGTTCAGACAACATTCCTTTCATAAACTCACAAAATTATTCTCCAGAACTCTCTTCAAATCTTTTTAAACTATTTAATAAGTACTTAATTGAGTCTTGTTTTCCTGTTTGCTAGAAAATGGCACCAGTGATTCCAATTTTAAAAAACTTTGGAGAACATTCTGACCCGTCCAATTATCGTCCTACCAGTTTACTTTCTGTTATTAGCAAGGTCTTTGAGTTTTTGATCAACAAATTTTTTACATCCAATCTTAAGTCAAATAACTTACTGACAGACAATCAATATGGTTTTATCTTACTCTACGGCTGATTGCTAACTCCTGTGACTGAAAGTTTTTATTGTGCATAATAATGAGTTTTGAAGATTATCAAATCGTTTCTTTCTAAACGCTTTATTAAGGTTATCTTCGAACGCCAACACTCTTCTTCATTTCCAGCAACTTCTCAGATACCTCAAGGTTCTATTCTTGGGCTTTTTGTTTCTAATCTACATTAATAATCTTCCTCATAACTTTATATCTACAGTAGTTTATTTTGCTGATGACTCAACTATATACTTCTGTTTTGATAAAAAGTCTTCTTTTTTCGATTGCTTAAAACAGGTAGCCGATCTTGAATCTTATCTCACTGATCTGTGACAGATTTCAGCTTGTATCTCAATACTGTTGATATTCCTATATTATTAAAGATTGACCAATGATGTTTTGGAGAGTCTGATAAAAAAAATAAGCATCACTCATCAGGAAAGCAATGTTGTAATTTTTATAATTACCACAACGTATAAATCATTGTTGCAGTAAAACAGACCTCGCTATAATAAACCCAAAAAACCACACCTCTCCCCAATTTGACTAATTGTATTGTTTGCATATCTGTTTGCAGAATTTTATTTATATATATAATTAAAATTATAATTATGTTAATAATAAGGCGTTATTATGTTCAAGTTGTAGAACTGCATGATTGTTTTTCTACTAATGAGCTTACAACGTATGAAGGACTTAGACTTTGTTCTGAAGATAAAACCTTTTAACAATTTCCTTCAGTAAAATCATGGAAAATTTGTTGAAGTTATTTTTTTCTTATATTTCAGTTTTAGATTAATCACTCAGCCCTCTTTTTCATGTCTTCTTGGATTACCGTTCATTACTGACCTTTAATGAAAACGATATATATATATAATTGATTGCTAAATTAAAATCTGTTAAGTTTGCTTCTTTTTATCGCACTCGCCATTTTCTTACTCCTAATTTTATTCTCTACCTCTAAAAATCTCTTATTCGTCCCTGTATGGAAAACTGTCGTCATATTTGGGCTGGTTCTTCTAATGGTTCTCTTTTTGTTCTAGACAAAGAAAAAAAACGTACTCAAACGTATTTGTACCCGCTCTACCAGCCAAACTTGAATCTCTCTGCCATCGTTGTAAAGTTGCATCTCTTTCTTTTTTCTACAAATAATATCTTTTTCTTTTATAAAAATACTGGTCACTGCTCAAAGGAGCTATCATCTACAGTTCCATCAACTAAAACTCATTTTTGCTTGATTCGTCATCTAGCAAAGTCTTATTCTTTTACTGTATCTGTCCCTACATGCTCTTAAAACTTTTATTGGTCTAGTTTTTTTCCCCTCACCTTAACCATTACAACTTATTTTTATTTTCATGTTTTCCTGACTTATAAAACCTACATCTTTCTAAGTCTTCTATCAACTGTTTCCTTGCTCTATAATTCTATTCTTTTTTTTCCAAGTAACTTCCAGCTTATAAGTGGTAGCTTGCAGCCTTGTTGGGATTGAATCAGAATAAAATGTCATTTTATCAAACATTAAACCGACAAAAACCATCATGTTTAAAATTATAATGTTCAGAAATATTCAGTTCAATTATCATCTCACTTTGCCGACCTCTAATTACAACCTAGGGTTTTCCTAGCCTTGTATAAAATAGCTCAAACAACAATTCTTAAAAAATTAGGACTAATAGTATTTGGCCATTTAGGATTAATTAATTAGGATTAATTGTATCAAGTATTAATACAATTTCCAAATTTGTTGAAAAGCTTGTTGCATCTCGTCTTCTTCCACATGTAACTTCATCTCATCTTCTTTCACATGAAACTTTATCTTGTCTTCTTCCATATGCAACTTCATCAATAAATTTAATCCTTTACAATCCGTTTTTATATCCAATTGTTAAACTAAAACTGGTCTCCGGAAAGATATCTAATAAAATCCTGTTAAACATCATTGATGACTAAACCAATATTCTTTTCTCTCTGGAAGTATATGCAATATTTACTAAAATTGATCACTACTTTTTCATTGTCCGTATTAAGGATGAATTTGGTGTCACAAATATAGCACATATTTGTGACACCAAATTCATTAATCCTAAATGGCCAATAAAGTTTTTAATTTATATACAATATTTTCTAAAATTGATCTTTTATTGGCCATTTAGGATTAATTAATTAATCCTAAATGGCCAATAAAATTTTGAAGAAATATTTCTATTTCTTCAAAATTTTTACAGTAAGTGTTTTAGGTTTGTATTTCTATTACTTGGATAAACAGCTGTTCATACAAGCAATATTTAAAACATATAATTTATGAGAGAGTCCCAGTTAATTTTTTATTTAATTATAAACTTTATATAATTAATAATTTTTTCAAAGTAAAGGACAATGTACAATATATTTTTACATTAAACAAATTAGTGAGAGCATTTGAAATGTTTTGTAGAATACAATCTTTGCTTTTATGTGCTTATATAGCAGAATTTTTATTTCAAAATTTTTCAATTATTAAATGTATAATAGAAAACCTTTTAAATGATTAAAAACATAATAGTCATAATAACGAAAGGGCTCAATATGTTGAAGGGCTCAATATGTTGAAGGGCTAAATCAATATGTTGAAGCGGTAATTAAATTACAAAATCAACATCAAGTCGGAGTTTAATTAAAAAATCAACATGTTTGATTGATTTGGTTCAAATTTATTAGAACAGTAATACATGTTCTAAAGGCACAGTAATACATGATCTAAAAGACACACAGTACATGTTTTAAAGGACACACAGATCCAAAAAGTAAGTAGGACTATGACATCGTGCCCCACAACAATAAAATTTATATATTAGAAAGGTTATAAAATTAAGAAATAAAGCACAACTATGACAAAAACGAGAACTGTTACACGAGATGCAGTTAGCAGGAACAGTATTTTACATTAAAACCGTGTACTTAAGTCGTACTTAAGTATAACCGTGAGTATAATCACGGTTGTACTTAAGTGTAACCTCGAGTATTATACTTATACTCGAGTTTTTTCAGAACAACTTAACTTGTCTTTAAGTATCGAATTTTTTTTTAGTTAACTAAAAAGAACTTCAATACTTAAAGACAAGCTAAGTTGTTCTGAAAGTGTAACAAGAAATCAAGTTTTGCTTTAAACGACTAATTTCGAGTAGTTTCAATTCGAGTATTGGAAGTCTGTTAAAATATGAAAATTTATTTAAGTTGGCTAGTTTCTTAGTAAAATATCTTAGGAATTTTTTGACTGCATTTATTAATTTAGTGCAGTGGGGGGAGAGCAATATTAAACTAAACTAAAGATCTGAGAGCAGTGATCTAAAAAAGGCCTTATGTAAAGTCTTTTATGAGAAAACGTGGTCACGACTTTTAAAACACCTAAGTTAAATATGCTGGGATGTTTGTTGAAAGGAAAACATTTGAAATATGTACATTTTTGTAATTTTTGTAATTTAGGAAAGTCACTTCAAGGTCTTTTAGATTTTTAAACCATTTAAATTATAAACTCTTAATTTATCATTAAAATTTACATATTCACAAAATGAAGCAGATGCTATTCTAAGTGTGTACACTTAGAATAGCATCTGCGCCTGGCTATTCAATTTGATATCGTCAGCATATAGCTAATAGAACAAAATATTTGATTATAGAGACATAATTGTTTAATTTAAAATTCAACATGTTGAAGTGGGAGTTTAATTTAAAATTCAACATGTTGAAGTGGGAGTTCAATTAAAAAATCAACATGTTAAAGCTGAGATTAAAAAAATGTGGACAGAAATATGTAAAAGTTAAAAAGTAATAAAATAATAAATACCAGAATTGAAAGGGTTAACGTTTGACCCCATAGTTCCCATTTCTACAGGCTCTTGACTGCCTCCAACTTCAATAGGTTGTTGGCCTTCAATAGAAACTTGTTGTTGAGATGCAACAGGGCCATTTGGTGATTGCTGTGAAATTTCAGAGGTTCCGGAAAGACCATCCAAACCCTCTGTAGCTGCTGCTTGAAGAGATTGAAATTGCTCTCCTGAATTCGCACTTCCCAGTTCTTTTTTTTTAATATTTTATGTTAAAATTTTGCAATAGTATTATTTTATAATTAGAACCTAAATTTAATAAGAAATTTACTTACCACCAAGACCTCCTAAACCACCACTAAGACTTCCTAAACTACCACCAAAACCACCCCCAAGGTTCTGATAAGAAGGTGTTTCTGTGTTTACAGTTTCTTTTTGTCCAACTACGCTAACTTGACCCATACTTGATTGTGTTGCTTTAGTGATTTCTTCTTGTATTTGTGACAATTCACGATTACTTTCACTTGAAATAAGGGCGTTGTAGCTCTAAAGAATAAATACTTATATATATATATATATATATTTAACAAAAAAAAAATTAATTTTTTTGTTAAATTATTTGGTCATGATTTTATGAGTAACATTTAAACCTGCATTTCTTGTGAAGCTTGCTCCTTTGGTGAAAGAGATGACGCAACAGATTTTTCGCCGTCTTTGTCTTCATTATTCTCACCGTTTTCATCGTAGGTATCTCCATTTGAAAACTTTTTTTCTTCTTCGGCTTCCATTGCCAATCGGTCTTCAAGCTTTGTATCTTCTTTATATGAAGTTTTACCTGGGGCCTCAACTACTATTAAGGAAAAATTACGTCATAAAAGCTGCACAAAAAACAACTACTATTAAAAAAAAATTACGTCATAAAAGCTGGACAATAAAACAACTACTATTAAGAAAATATTACGTCATAAAAGCTGCACAAAAAAACAACTAACAAATTGCGACAAATAAAATTTACGTACATTTGGAAGATGGCTTCAGATGTGCCAACCCAAGAGCATTTCCTAAATTACAATTACTTAAATAAATAAAACAAACACTATTAACCATAGGCTAGAACAAAATAAATTTGAAACTTACGCAGTGCTGTTAAATCGATTGGAGCATGACTCATAGGCTTGCCACGAATACTTTTTACAGTTGATTCTCCATCTTTGTTATCGGTTAGTTGAGATGCAGCTGAAATTAAAGTTTCACTTTTTTCAGAATGAGTTGCTAAGCGACCTAAATATAAATTTAAATAAAAGTTTCAAACACCAAAACTACTTTTTTTTGTTTTAAATTGATGTGTGTGCGTTTTAAAAGATGATTTTCTCAGACAAACTGAGATTGCATCAAATTCGTCATACCCATTACTTCATGAAATTCGTCATACCCATTTTTTTTTGAAATTTCAACACAAGATTATTCAGCTTCTTTGCCATGTCGACCATTTTCTTATCAGACTCATCTTCCAACGCGGCATTTTCTTTAACAACATCTTCATTACTAACTTTTGCCTTTACATTATCTTTATTCGTATCCTTGAAAATATACTCTTTTATGTCTGTATCTTTTGATAAATCTTTTATATCTCCAGCTTTTGCAAGTTTTTCCAGTTCAACGTCTGTTTTTGTAAATTTCGAGACTTCGTTACTTGTTGCTAATTTTGAAAGAATTACGTCACTTTCAGATTTTGTTAACTTAGATAAATCTTTATCTGGCGTTTTTGAATCCTCGTTTTGTTTATCTTTGTGTTTTTCATGAAGTTTAGAAAGTTCTTCAACCTTTTTGTCTAATGTTTCTTTAAGATCGACAGGTTTCAAAATAAAATGCTGAGTTTCAACTTTTGCTTTAGCTACGGTTTTTATACTTTCTTTTGCAGCCAACTCAGATTCTTTTTCAGCCCTATCAATAGCTTCTTTAACTTGCTCTTCTCCGCTTTTACCAGCAACGATATCCAAAGGGGTCGAGTGAACTGAAAGTAGGAGAACTTGGTTGGAGAACTTGCCTTTTTATGAAGAAACTACACACAACTATTTTGTCTCACTTATTCAGATAAAATTCAAAAAGTTTAAGGAAAAAACTCTCACAGAAACATTTATTATAACAAACAACAAAGTTTTACAAAGAAATTATCTATAAATATTTTATTCAATTTTTTACTTTGTGACATACCGTTTTGCATTAAAAGTATTACCAAAATAGTTTCGGTGTAAATCATTGTGCGTAAAAGTTATAGTTCATAATATTTACTTCATTTCATTCTATATTATATTGTTTATAAATTTAAAATGTTTTTTAAACTTTTCCAAACATTAAAAATTGCACCTTTTTTGCAAGCTTCAAAGCGTGTATATTATGCTTGAATGCCTTTAAATGCTTATTGATAACCTTGATTTGTAAAACAGAACAACTTCATCATGAAAAAGTGAGTTATCCAACCAATTTTATATACTACAAATAAAAAAAAGGTTTCTATACTATTCAAAACTTTCACGACTATGATTTTAAAAAAGTTTAAATTTGAATTTAAAAATCCTTTTATTTTGAAGTTCTTTTAAATCACTCAGACAATTTTTAAAATGTAGCTTATGTTTTTGTTTTCTATTTTTGAATTTTAAATTTAGTTTTATCGGAATAATTTGTTCTGTAAAAGTATACATTCTCGTTCCATAAAGTTGTACTTTGTACTCCAAAATAAATCAAAATAAGTTTTTAGTACAAATATTATAATAAAAGTTGATGACCTTTAAAAAAAAATACACACACACACAAAAAACAAAACAACAACAACAACTCCTTTTTATAAGCTAAAGTCACTTGAGGTTATTGTTAGAAGTGAAACAGTAAAATGCTCTAACTTTATCTTTGGCATGTGATTGCAGCCTCTCTCTAGTAACTTTGCCATACTACCATTTTAACACATACTGAACGCTTGTCCCCCTTTGTCAATAGTATACAATGCTTTGCTCAAGTATACAATGCATTGAACAACCAATATCACAACTTTTGTGTACTTCGTTCGACACCATTGCTTTCAAAATAAATAATAAATTTTAATTATGTGTACTCAAAATGTACTCTTATCTTAAAAAAGACGAGTGCGCTCGTCTTTTTTAAAATAAACGTACTTCTAATTAGGTCTTTAATTTATTTTTGATTTCAGAAGCATTAGTTAAGCTTTATTTCCAACTGATGATTGCGTAATCATCATTTATATGACTGATGGTTGCGTAATCATCATTTGGCAATAAAGCTTAATGGTATAGTTTTTTTTATAAGATGATATTTTCTTTTATTAATAATTGATATGTTTAAACATTAAAGTAGTACATGTTAGATTTACTTCTTAAAATCCTAAGTTTGTAATAAATAATACAAAGTTTATTCAAATGTATGTAACTTTTCGAAATGTTTTGTTTTACTTTGTCTCAAAAGGCAGTAAGATAGAAGTATTCATTAATAAAACTAATTTAATAAAAATGTTTTTATTTAATTTGTTTTATTTTTATATTTTCTTACAAATTTTATACATTTAAAAAATTTATATATGTAGCAAGGGCTATCTATCCGTATAGTAGTCCTTGATATATATATATATAACTATCCGTATAGTAGTCCTTGATATATATATATATATAACTATCCGTATAGTAGTCCTTGATATATATATATATATATATATATATATATATATATATATATATATATATATATATATATCTTTATTGCTATCAGAGATACTCATGTCAAGCCTGGTTAACAATTTCAAGCATTCCTTTACGTAAATAATCACGCCGCCACCACGTTTATTGGTTTTACGCGAAATCAATTTATATCCAGGCAAGTTAAAATTAGAAATAAAATAAACGTCATCAGAATCACACCAAGTTTCTGTTAAGCAAATTACGCTAAAAATGTTAAAAGTTTCTCAGTTAAATTACAAAAATTTTCTAAGTTTTTTTTCAAACTTCTTATATTTATATGAATCACATTCAATTTATCCGGTTCAAGAAATTTTTCTAATTCATGGACATACAAATAACTGCACTTGTTTTTTAAAGCACCAACTCCACTAAAATAATTTAGATCAGGGTCATTATTGCTGTCCATTAAAAAATCATTAGTTTGAAATAAGTTAATTAAAGTTGATTGAAAATCAACAGATTCGTTTGAATCCACTTTAGTTATTTGAAATCCAAAAATAAAAAAAATTAGTTCTTTTAAAATTCGCGTGTAACTAATTTATTGTATACTACTTTAGCATACTTACCGGTGGCTCGAATATCTTTAACTTTTGCAAAAAGAAGTTTCCGTTTATCTCTTGTTCTTTCGCTAAAATTTTCATTCAAGAATAATTTTTCGTTCAATAATTTGAGTAATCGGTATTCTTTTAAAACATTTTCTTTGTCTTTAAAGTTTAAGAATTTTGCAATGATAGTTCTTCGCTTTTTCATTCCAACTTCATTCTTTTTTCCTGTTCTGTGAGCTCTCTCGATATATACTTCGTTCGTCATGCCAAGCTTTTCTTATAAGAAAACTTTAACTTTAAGTTCGCTTTCCTCCCACGTTTCATTTTCCTTCTCTTCAAAGCTACCAAATCGTATATTATTTCTTCTGCTTCTGTCTTCAATTTCCGCAAGTTTATCTTTAAATTCTTCATTGTTTAAAGCTTTTTCATTTTCTTTCGTGTTGTGTTTAAGATGTTCCTTAAAGTCGTATAATTCTTTTGTCTCTTTTTCATACATTTTATTTTAAAAAGTCATTGCATTTTTAATATCTGCTATTACCTTTTTTAAAATTGAATTTTCGCTTTTAAGTACCTCCATTTTTTCCTCCGTCCTGTTAGCTTTATCGCCAAAGATTTTAAATATTGTGTTCTCGTGCGCTTCAAGTAATTCTTTAATTTGAGTAAATGATAATCCTTTAGACATTTAAAAAAAAAAATTTTATATATATTTTAAAACACGTCCGTTCGCGGTAAGTTAAACTGTCAATTGATATATTTGTAATATAAATTTGTATATATATATATATATATATATATATATATATATATATATATATATATATATATATATATATATATATATATATATATATGTGTGTGTGTATATATATATATATATATATATATATATATATATATATATATATATATATATATATATATATATATATATATAAATATATATATATGTGTGTATATATATATATATATATATATATATATATATATATATATATATATATATATATATATATATATATATATATATATATATATATATGTGTGTGTGTGTGTATATATATATATATATATATATATATATATATATATATATATATATATATATATATATAAAGAGAGAGAGAGAGAGAGCAGTCGTGGCGCATTGGTAGCGCAGTTGCCTCAGATTTAAAAAAAAAAGAAACAAACCCTACCTCTGGACACATCGGTTAGGAAGAAGGAGTGTACTTCCTGTTAAATGCTCATCCGCGGTGCTCTGTGATAAGACCATAAAGGCTTCTTGGGGCACTTAAATAAAATTAAATATATATATATCTACATATCAAGGACTACTATACGGAAGGCGCGCAAAGTCGATTTCCTGACTCCGCTAGCGAAGGCCATTATTTTTATCAAAGTTGAAGTGTTCTTTAACGTTCCTGTAACATTTTTTTTTAATTTTAACCATAATCATGGTGAACAAATGTGGCGTTGTAAATTGTAAAGGAAATTACAATAAACGTCGTATTTTACAATACTTTTTTATTACAATAAGTGTTTTATAACTCAATAAGTCAATAAGTCAATAAGTTATAAGTTTTATAACTCAAAGTTATAAGTTTTATAACTCAAAGTTATAAGTTTTATAACTCAATAAGTCAATAATCAATAAGTTTTAAATTACAATAAGTGTCGTATTTTTAAATTACCGAAAGATGAAATTGAGAAACAGAAATTGATTAATGTTCTTCCTTTACGTAAAAATTTTATTATTGAGCCATCTAAGTTTCTTATATGTGAAAAACATTGGCCTGAAAATACAAAAATGATTAAGCTGCCTGTTGGCTATACTCGACCAGCATGTGCACCTTGTATTTTTAATGTTCCTTTTCTTGTTTACCAACGCCAAAGCCTGTGCCTCGCCAATCTAAACCTGAAGACATGCAATTGAATTATTTCATCAAAAAAGATAGAATAAATTCGTTTTCTGATTTTTATCCTGACAATGAGTTGCACAAAAAGTATAAAAATATAGTAATATCTCGACAAGACGATAAATTCATATGCATTTTTATGTCAAAAGGTTTCAAAGAGAGTTTTGTGACGATTATTGTTTATGATAAGTGTACCTTGTGTTCACCGCTAACCTTTTCAGCTTTTAAACATGGAATTTCCGTTCCATTAGCTAATATATTGAAACCAAACAATGGCTTAATCTTCTATTCACAATTTTTTGAAGCAATCAATTTAGTTCATAATTATAATCTGCATGTTAATGATGTTATTGAAAAGATGACATATACTCTTTCAGAAAATGAATTTGAATTAAATGATGATAAGAAACAAAAAAAAGTGAATTTTATGACAAGACAACTCAAACTCTTGTCTAAAAAAAGTTTCTCTATAGCTGATTATTGCTTTGCAATCGAGTCTTTTTATAACTGCAACTACGATCAACTTCGTGATTTTTTAGTCCTTCGAAGTAAACGAAAGCTATAGTCAGTCTGAAATTTCTGCCACTAACATTGACCATGTTTTACAAAAAACATTTGAAAAAGTAAAGAATAATCAACAGAAAAATGTTATTTTAAAAGTTGACGAGGTAAAAATTAGGCCAACAGTTGCTTATTCGTGTGGAGTTTTAAATGGGATGGCAAGAAATGATCTAGAACCTAAAGCAACCTCTATGCTATGTGTCATGATGAAATGCATTGTGGACCTAGTTTAATGATTTCTGTTACCCCTGTTCACAAACTAATATCATTGTATCAGTTCATTGTTGTGAAAGAAGCTGCTATTATAGTTGAAAAACATGGTGTAATAGTTTTAGGATAACAAAACCATAGCTTCATTTTCAGATGTGAAAAGTCTATATCAATACGAGAAAGAGAACATTTTAAAAACAGTTTCTTTATCCTATGCTGCTGTCTATCCTTCGAGACTTCAACCACAGAATGTGCAGCATGTTTTAAGAGTGTTTAATGAATTAGGACATGGGCCTAAACAAGTTCAGTGCGTTACCCATGATACCAAAAAAGCCCTAGTGCAAACTACTAAAGGATTGATAGCTCTCTGCAAACATTTGTTTTCAGTTGGTTTTGATTATGTTTTGCTTCGTGAGCT